GCTAACTGAGACCTGTTATAGCACTTGCATACCATTGCTCTTTTGTTGATTTTGATTGCTTCCATTGTCCTCATTTATTCAAAATAGAAATCTTTTCTAAAAATATAAGTCTTTACTATCACTTTTTATCCATTTAACACATTCTTGCTGAATAAAAGTATTAATTTCTTTAAAAAACAAAAAGAAAAAAATTACTGACTTTTGAATAGTGTATATTGTAACACAAAATTTCTATTTTGAATAAACACTGTTCTTTTTACATTTTATTTATCAAAGAATCCTAAAAAAATATCACAGGTCCCAAAAAAATATTAAGCAGCACAACTGTTTCCAACATTTATTATAAATCAGCATATAAGAATGATTTGTGAAGGATCATGTGACACTGAAGACTGGAGTAATGATGCTGAAAATACAGCTTTGCTTCATAGGAATAAATTATATTTTAAAGTATATTAAAATAGAAAACTTTTATTTTAAATTGCAATAAAATTTAACAATATTATTTTGTGAAATATTATTCAGTATTTTTAGCTAATAGATACAGCCTTGATGAGCATAAGAAACGTATTTAATAAACACTATTGATCCCAAACTTTTGAAAGGCAGTGTACTGTAAAAAAAAAAAAGTTTTCTCAAGTAACCTAAAATGTACATCATTTAGTCACGGGTCAAATTAAATACAAATAGCACATTAAAGTCCGCGTGAACCGGAAGTTGCTGCCGACTTTATCTCAGTGAAGTGACGTATTTCCAGCTGAAATGGAATATTGAGGAAAGGGCGTAGTTTTATTTTTGCGCTCCTCCTCTCATCTCTCACTCATAGCAAACTAACGGTTGGATTGGTGTGTTTAAGGATATTTTGCCCAAGCCGTCAAACTGACGTCATCAGAGAAGGAATGCCATTCCAGAGTGGAAGTAAATGATTTTTCAGATTTTGATTAAAGATTACCAAAACAAAAATTTTTTTTTTCAGCAGGGCATGGTTTTATGTTTGCGCTCCTCCTCTCTGTCTCTCACTCATAGCAGTCTAACGGTTGGAGGGGTGTGTTTAAGCATATACTGCCCAAGCCGTCAAACTGACGTCATCAGAAAAGGAATGCCATTCCAGAGCGTAAGTAAATGTTCAGATTTTGATTAAAGATTATCAAGACAAACTATTTTTTATTAGCGGATTAACTTGCATGGATTAATTGTTCACATCAAATGTGCGCTAGTAAAGTAAATGAAGTCAATTTTGATTTCATGCGGACTTTAAAGTTAAAAGTTACACACTTTTTTTGTAAGTGTGGTATAAAGAATGTTTTTGCTCAGGTGGCCGAAATGTCCGCCCAATAGAGAAAAGTTTTGCACAGCAAGAAAAAAAATTAGAGGGAACATTGCTATAGAATACCCAAGACGGGTCACTCGTATAGTTTTGAATGGGGAAAAATTAAACGCTCAATATGACTGCTCTATCGAATGAAGCCCCACCTTCTGAGCAAAAGAGCCAATCCCTAACAGGTAAAGTCAGCGCATCACTGCAGCTGCCGTAGAAGTCTCAGTTGCTGTAGAAAGTCAGCATTCGGAGACGTGCGCATGCGCACTGGCTGGTCTGGCCTGAAAAATAAGATTTTTTTAATGCTATTTGAGCAAAATAAATAACATTTATGAGGCAGTTGTTGTCAGATTTTATTGGTGATTTCAAATATGAAATTTAATCGTAAGCTTGGTGAACAGTTTTGGAGAATTTGATGTTTCCCCATTCAAAGAGATAGAAGCTGCCCGAGAGGCGTTTCAAAGATGGCCGCCGAGTGACATGACTTGCCTTAAAGGGGTCATATGATGTTATTTCAATTTTTCCTTTCTCTTTGAAGTGATACAAGCTCTTGGTGCATAAAGAAGATCTATAAAGTTGCAAAGACTAAAGTCTCAAATCCAAAGAGATATTCTTTATAAAAGTTAAGAGTCAACCAAGCCTACCTAAAACGGCTCGTTCTAACACGCCCCCACATGTCTACGTCACGATGTGGGAAGATTTGCATAATGCCACCCAAATGTTCACACAAAGAAAGAAGGCGTAACTTTTATTCTCGCTGTAGTATTGTTGCTGCTGCCATGTCGTGAAGGTGCTGTGTGTTTCGTTGTGAAAGTGAAACTACTTTGTTTGGCCTTCCAAAAGAGGACGATATCCGCTTCGTCAAGCCTAGAGCTGATCCGTGCTGGTCGCTGAGGAAATACATCAACTTCGCGCTGTGGATCACCGGATCGGCTTTC